GAGAGCAGTGCAATGAATATGAATATGAAATGGCCAAAGTGCCTGCTTGTGCCACTCATAAATCGGTAATTGCTGGCTGCCTGCTTGTGTGCTTGTTGCCACTTGGCAAACTGTTGCTGATGCTCTTGCTGCCTCTCTCTCTCACTCTGCAGAGCATTTATTGATTTGCCGCACACATCTCGATCGTGCCTTATCTCCTATCGGCCCTTTCATTTGCACCTCATTCTACCTTGTAATTTGCATTGATGCTCACCTCTTAAACGGCTATCTAATGACCAGCTCATTCGATGTTGGTGGCAGCACAATTTGACGCTAATAGAAAAGTACTGAAATCTTTCGAAGTATATAACGAGGTGCCGTGCAGTCTTGTGTCCACTCTCCCTTTACCGGACATTGCGCTTTTTTGTGCGATCAATGTTGAATCACGATTGGCGTTTGGCTGCTGTCGTGTTTGTAGGGTTGTACAATGGTTGGTGAATTCTATTATTAAATTGCTGCTCATACTACTGCATGATTTATCAATTGCGCGTGAGCATCTTTTAATTTTATTAATAGATGCGCACCAAAAAGTCGATGAAACGGCAAGTTATCACTGAGATAAATTACTCATTAATGAACCTGTGTACCTGTTTCTTCGTTTACCAATAATAGCTCAGTGCTAGTTAGCAATTGTTCTGCTCGTTGAAAGTAGGCGCTAACATTAGCTGTAAACTAAAAACTGTACCTTTCTTGAAGTTTTTGCCTTTTGCAGTAGTTGACCAAAGACAATCATCATCATAATCATCATGACTTGAAAAGAGACGGACACCTTTCAACACCGAAAGTGTTAATTATCTAAGGTAATTATCACCNTAGTTAGCAATTGTTCTGCTCGTTGAAAGTAGGTGCTAACATTAGCTGTAAACTAAAAACTGTACCTTTCTTGAAGTTTTTGCCTTTTGCAGTAGTTGACCAAAGACAATCATCATCATAATCATCATGACTTGAAAAGAGACGGACACCTTTCAACACCGAAAGTGTTAATTATCTAAGGTAATTATCACCTTGACAGGAGTGTTTAGCAGATTAAACAGACTGAAGTGAAAAAAGTTCTGAAACACACAGTTTTGCTGTAAATGCTATTTAATTGTGACCTGTCGTTTGGTGCTAAAAAGCACCAGCAAAAGCAACAGCATTTGGTGCAACTGGACTGATACTTCGATTACTTCTCAATTGCTGCCGTTTTTGCTACCATTTTTGCTAGGTCCGTCAAAATGATAAGTGTGTGGTGTAAGTGCAGGCACAGGCTGTCGGCACTTTGACCATCGTATTGTGTCTCTTTCTGACACCTCGCAGACTCACCGACTGCCCATCCACCGACACTTCCACACAAAAGAACAACTTTCATTAATCAAGAGGTAAACAAACCACAGGCTTGTTCGCTGCCAGTTGATCTTTCACCATTTCTTCCTCTTCTTCTTCTTCGTCTTTTTCTTCGTCTGCATCACCTTGGTCTTCTGTTGCTCAAGGTGAACTAAACTGCTTAGTCTGGAAAGTCAAAACTTCACTGACACTACTGCCAAGTGTCGATTAAGTGTGAACACATAATGAGAGGTCCCATGGTAGCCAGCGCAGTTGCTGCTTCTGCGACTGTTTCTGGAGACAACATTAATCAAGGTGCATTGCATCGACTTGTTGTGTTTGTGTTTGTGTCACACTGGACTCTTCGTCCTCTCAGACACTCTGGCTGGTCGCTAAGGCTGGGTCCATTGTCACAGGAGAAGAAGAAGCCAGCCCCAAAATAGTGTTTGTTTGCATACAGGCACAAACAAGTCCAAATGAGGCCAGCAAAGTGGCCGCGCAGAGACTGGGTAAATTGACTTGCTGCTCCAACCAGGCACTCGGGGCCAGTCACACCTTGTTTGTTGTTGTTCTCTTTGTTTATTTGTTTGCATTTGGTTCCGTCTGTGTCCGTCTCAGTTTCGCCTTCTCTCTTTTTGAGATGCGTGTGTGTCCAATAGTTAGCACCTCATCACCTTGTCACCCGATTATGATTTATTCCGCAACAGCCACAAACAAGGCCTATTGTCGCTAACGAACTTGGAATTTACAGTTTAAAGTGTGTTCTACCGGGAAGTAGTTTGACTTTACTAGATGATAGTTGGCCTTTTCGTGGCCCAATTCAAGTGCTCAATTTCAAAAAACACGCAAAAGGAAGAGCTCAATTGTTCTGCTTCTTTGAAAAGGGCAAAGTGTTAACAAATTGTTACATTTGATTTTTTGATTAACCAGACTTTGAGGAACTAACCACCTTTGAGGGGCTGTTAAATCACTGCATCAAAAAGTCGCACAAGGACACCTTCGGTGAACAGGATGGACTGCTAATTAGGACAAAGTTCATTTCATTACCTTCATGTGCCAGCCACCAGCAACTATTACCGTTGCTTTGTAGTTTTCAGCAGCAAAAGAAAAAACTGTTTGCCAGGCGATAATTAAAAGCGTCATGACGGTGGCAGATGATGTGTGCGCAGTGTTGCCGCATCCTCGTTACTGCAGCAAATGGTGGCTTTTGAGATCGTGATGAAGCTTTCTCCAGTCGTCGTATATTTAGAACAGACATTTAGTTTCATTTTGGCTACCAGCTACCTGGCACTACTGGACACAACTTTTACTGCCGCATCGGGCACTTGTGGTGGCACTGGCGACTGATGATGGCTATCTCATGAATATTATGGTCTGATAATGAGCCCATTTTTTAGTGGTAGCAGTAGCAGTAGTGGTAGTAGTTCACCAGACAGTCTGTTACCGTTTGCCGGTGATGCTATCACACGAACTCGGCCTGTTTTCCTTTGATCGGCTGGCAATTAGTAGTAAAAATTTAATTTAATTAAACATCGGTGACTTGCAGTGTGATGCAGAGCTGAGATGCGAGGCATTGCCAGTCGTACGACTTGCTGCATCCATGGCACGGCCAGCCGACGATTGACAATATGCGGGTGCCCCTCTCTTTTCACTCTCAACGATGCCTCGCGTGAGGTCTTGGCGGCTAATTTGCAATTACAAACTCAGTGGCTAAATGCTGCTGTCAGCTTGCTTCTTTACTGCCTCTCTCTCTCTCTCTCTCTCTCTCTCTCTCTCTCTCTCTCTCCTCAACCTGGAATGTGCATACCTGAATGTGCACTGGCAGTTCGCACTTTATGGCTAATTAATTGTACTAGCTAATTTGGCGATTTACCTTTTTATTTTATATCTTTTTTTCTTGCCCTGAGAGCAGTCATAAAAATGTAGTGAAAAAAAAATAAAAAAAGTGCGAATATTAAATTAAATACTGCTCGGCTGGCGATCCTCAAGTGAGAAAAGAGAGTAAGAGAGCGAGAGAGCCATAGAGTGAGAGGCTACACAGGCGGCGAGCCATTGTGGCTGGCATTGGGCGAGCCTTTTCCGCTGCTCACCCGGTCCTGGATGCTCTGTCCTGACTTGGCCACAATCTTCTGCCTCTTCACCCACCGATAAACGTCTCCAAACAGCTCCGTCACCATCTGGTCTAGCACGCTGATCTCTCCGATGAAGTTGACCACCAGCTCGCTGAAGTCCGTGCACAAAATTTCACCCTCTTCGAGGCTGACTTGCCTAGTGACGCAGAACGAGGTCGCAGGTGACCAAAAAAAATTAACCGCAGACACACACGTGTGCGCACACACTGCTGTACTCACCTCAGATGTGCCATGTCCTGTTTGTTGCCCACAACGGCAATGAACGGTATTTGCATCCCGTTCTCTGAAGCAATAAGAAAAATTAGGCAACAAGTTTAAAAAATATCAACAATTGTTAAAAGTTACCTTTCAACAGTACAAGATGTTTTAGCAGATTTCTAACGTAAAGATAGCTTTGTCGGTCCGTAATGGAGTACATCACTAGAAAGAGGTCAGTAACGTGCGAGGCAAAGTCAAAGCGTTTGATGTTCAGCGTGATCGGCGAGGACGAATCAAGAATCTCAAAGAGGACCGTGTCGGTATCGACAATCATTTCATGTTTATACCGAGAATCGGAGCCTTTGTCGTAGTCGACAATGTATCGACGGGTGATGAAACGAACGACAAAAGCTGTAGTGGACGACAGATTTTGGTAAGCATTCATCGACATTATCAGTTACTGAGAGAATCAAAACTCACCCGTTTTGCCCACATCGCGGTCCCCAAGAAGGGTCACTCGAATGTCGCTTAAGGAGGACTTTTTACGACGAAGAACATTTCCCTTGGTCGGGGCCGAAGTGTTGATGCTCATCTTTGGCAAACAACTGCTGTGCTCTACGNAAGGGTCACTCGAATGTCGCTCAAGGATGACTTTTTACGACGAAGAACATTTCCCTTGGTCGGGGCCGAAGTGTTGATGCTCATCTTTGGCAAACAACCGCAGTGTTCTATGTTGCTACGCTGACAGTCTGAACAAAATTCTGACAGCCGAGTGAAGCAGCATCAGAAGCAGCAGCAACTAAACTCAGTGGCTGTGGCAACTCAAACAGACGGCACTCTTCGAGCACTGAAGCGCCGATTCTATTTTGAGAATCTATCCTTTTCCCTAGAATACTGCTTCCTATGCAAATGCAGTCTAAACTAAGTGTACAGATGATGAGGAAATGTAATGTAGAGACGATGGTAATGATAACAACTTGGTGTTCAGTTCAGTGGGGAGTAGACACATCGCTTCTAAAACATTGTATTTTCCTTTAATAAATGAGTGCTTTCTCTTTTAAACATGCACACAAGGAAATAATATCATTCAAAATGCATTTGCCACTCATTTCAATCTAATCTTTACAGATTTGTAAACATATAATACATTTGAATTTAAAAAACAAATATTTTTAATAAACGATGGCTTCGTTTTCTGAATCAACGCGTTTAATACAAGTTAATTCAAGTTACTGTAGAGTAGAATGGAAGAATTAGCTTTTGCATTTCAATAAATGTACTCGATATATATTTACCTGATCAGCAATAGTTGGTAAAATGTGCTAAGCACTAGTAGTCCTCGCCACGACTGACCACCTCCTTGTAGGTGGGGCGGAGGATGATGGTGTGCTCATACTGGGCAGTGTAGCAGCCCTTGACATCACACAGCGGCGGGTAGGGGTCAATGACGCCCTTGTCACACAGGTCCTTCAGTGACAGCAAATAGCGACTCTGCCCGAGACGATCCAGCCAACGACGACAGAAGGCAAGAGTGCCAAAGTTCTGGTTGATTACGTTCAGCAGCTTCTTTGAGCCAGCTAAACGCAGCAATGAGTGAGAATCATTGTAGTTTTTCATGTAGTGTGAAGTTTCCATGTCGTCATTGACGAAGCCGCGACCAGTTGAGCCGAAAGTTTCAATTGCAAACACTTCGTTTTCCTCCATCTTCGTCTCCTCGCCACCTTTAACGATCGGCACAGTTTTTCCAGCATGAATGCGATAGGAGCCAATTGAGTGACCATTCAAATTGCGAATTGACTTGATGGGGTACGTCTTTCCATTAATTTCAAGCTCATACGACTCCATCACCTCTTGAATAGCCTTTCCGACGTCACAGAGGCGAACGTCAATGCCAGCGGTTTTAATTCCAGTGTTGGTAGCATCCTTCACCGCCTTCAGTAGCTCATCGTACTTAGGATCAAAGGTGAGCGTGAAAGCGCAGTCAATGATGTGGCCGTTGATGTGAGTGCCAAAGTCAATTTTGCACACATCATCGTACTGAAGAACAGTGGTATCGCCGGCATTGGGGGTGTAGTGAGCAGCGCAGTGATTCAGTGAACAGCCAGTGGGAAAAGCAAGACCAGCATCGAGCCCATGTTCGCCGATCAGCTTTCGTGAAGTTTCCTCAAGTCGCTCGCAAATCTCGATCATTGTCATGCCTGGTTTGATGTACGATTGCATGTACTGACGGGTCTGTCGGTGAGCCTCAGCGGCCAGACGGAAGTCGTTGTACCATTCAATGTTTGCCGCATCCAGTGCCTTTTTCTCGGCGTTTGTCGTCCGGTAAATAGCTGTGTTTTCATCAACTCCAGGGTGCTCCATCAGCTGACCGACGGGATAATTCCCCTCAGGGTACAGGTCTTTGATTGCTATCGTTGGAGGGTCAGTCTGCTTTGGAGGACCTGATTTGGCATTCTTTTTCCTGTTTCGCTTTTTCTTTGCGGCAGTNGCATCCAGTGCCTTTTTCTCGGCGTTTGTCGTCCGGTAAATAGCTGTGTTTTCATCAACTCCAGGGTGCTCCATCAGCTGACCGACGGGATAATTCCCCTCAGGGTACAGGTCTTTGATTGCTATCGTTGGAGGGTCAGTCTGCTTTGGAGGACCTGATTTGGCATTCTTTTTCCTGTTTCGCTTTTTCTTTGCGGCAGTAATTTTGTCTTCATTGGCACTGGTCTGATCTTCCAGAACAATATCATCATTGAGAGTCACTTTGGCCTCAACTTGTTTAGCCAATTCACCGTTGACAGTCTCCGCAGTTGACTCGGCAGCGTTGGCAGCTGAAGCTGGCTTCTTCTTTTTATTCTTCTTTTTCTTTGCTCCTGTAGTCGGTTGTTGTTGATTGTTTTCCAGGTGCTCTGGCTGATCACCACCATCAGTTTCCTCAGTGGCCGAGCCGTTCATTTTGATGGCATTCGGATTCGGCTGCTCACTGCTAGTTGTCAACTCTGATTTCGAGTTCATGACTACGTTTCAGCAAAGATAGGAGGTACCTGGAAGGTAAACGAGAAGAAAATAAAGTACTTTTAGAGGGAAATGTTTGTTTGAGGGAACAAATTCTGCAAACGCTGGTTTTGTGTTGTGGCAAAAGTGAGCCAGCGTGGGGGGACTTGGGACAGTGTAGGTTGTTATAGTTTCGATGTATTTTAAAAAACAGAATTTTTAGCAAACAACTTTTAATAAGTCTGATCTCTTACAAAAGTACAAAGTTTTAGGTTTTATTTTTTATTTTATCGCAATGATATTATAACAAAAATTTTAAGCAAAAAGCGTTCTTGTTGAAACAAACTTAATTTTAAAATACAAGTTTTATAATATTTTACTTGCGTGTTTAGAAGGTTTGTAACTGAAATTGGGCTTTGCTGCCCAAAACGCTATTCCAATTTGAACTGAAATGTGTTAGCTTTTCCACAAGCGTGGGGGCCTTCAGCCCACTACTATATTT